GCAGGGGAACCTTCAGATGGGCCTGGACATGTGATGACTTGAGCAGGGGAATCTTCCGTGCAATGCATGATTTGAAACCATGACGGCGTAGTGTTCTACCGACAGTGACCTTGGAAACTGGGGTCCCAGTTCTCTTCATGTCATTGACCAGCTCCTCCCTTGTAGTTCCTGGCTGATTCCTCACCTTTCTTATCATCAGTGATACCCCACGAGGTGACATCTTGCATGGAGCCCCAGTCCGAGGGAGACTGACAGTTGTCTTTAGCCTCTTCCATTTTTCTAACAATTGCTCCAACAGTTGATCTATTTTCACCAAGCTGCTTGGCAATTGCCCCGTAGCCCTTTCCAGCCTTGTGGAGGTCCACAATTTTGTCTCTGGTGTCTTTTGACAGCTGTTTGGTCTTGCCCATGGTAGTAGTTGGCGTCTGACTGACTGTGGGGTGGACAGGTATCTTTAAAGAGCTCAGACAGGTGCTACTAAGTTAGATTAATGAGTGGAGTAGAGGTGGACTTTTTAAAGGCGCAGTAACAGGTCTTTGAGAGGCAGAATTCTTGCTGTTTCTTAGGTGTTCAAATACTTCTGTTAAGCAGTGCGAGACAAATACATTCTTTACAAATCATACAATGTGATTTCCTGAATTTTTTTTCTAAATTCTGTCTTTCAGAGTGGGAATGCCCCTACAATGTGAATTTCAGACCCCTCCATGATTTCTAAGTGGAAGAACTTGCAAAATCGCCGGGTGTTCACATACTTCTGTTCTTCACTGTATATATACACTATATTGCCAAAAGTATTGGGATACCTGCCTTTCCACACACATGAACTTTAATGGCCTTCCAGTCTTAGTCCGTAGGGTTCAATATTGAGTTGGCCCCGCCCTTTCCACACACATGACCTTTAATGGCCCCCCAGTCTCAGTCCCTAGGGTTCAATATTGAGTTGGCCCCGCCCTTTGCAGCTATAACAGCTTCAACTCTTCTGGGAAGGCCGTCCACAAGGTTTAGGAGGGTGTCTATGGGAAGGTTTGACTAGAAGCACATGTGTCAGGTCAGGCACTGATGTCGGGGGAGGAGGCCTGGCTCGCAGTCTCCACTCTAATTCATCCCAAAGGTGTTCTATGGGGTTGAGGTCAGGACTCAGTCAAGTTCCTCCACCCCAAACTGGCTCCTCCATGTCTTTATGGACCTTGCTTTGTGCACTGGTGCGCAGTCATGTTGGAACAGGAAGAGACCATCCCCAAACTCTTCCCACAAAGTTGGGAGCATGAAATTGTCCAAAATGTTGCCTTAAGAGTTCCCTTTACTGGAACTAGGGGGCCAAGTCCAACACCTGAAAATACAACCCCACACCATAATCCCTCCTCCACCAAACTTTACACTTGGCACAATGCAGTCAGGCAAGCACCATTCTCCTGGCAACTGCCAAACCCAGACACGTCCATCAGATTGCCAGACAGAGAAGCGTGATTGGTCACTCCAGAGAACATGTCTCCACTGCTCTAGAGTCCAGTGGCGGCGTGCTTTACACCACGGCATCCAACGCTTTGCATTGCACTTGGTGATATAAGGCTTGGATGCAGCTGCTCGGCCCATTCCAAAACCCATTCCATGAAGCTCTCTACACACTGTTGTTGTGCTCATCTGAAGGCCACACCAAGTTTGGAGGTCTTTAGCTATTGACTCTGCAGACAGTTGGCGACTTCTGCACACTGTGAGCTTCAGAATGCACTGACCCCGCTCTGTCATTCTACGTGGCCCACCACTTGGTGGCTGCATTGGTGGTTTTGAGTTGCTGTTGTTCCCAGTGGTTTCCACTTTGTTATAATCCCACTAACAGTTGAGCGTGGAATATTTAGTAGCCAGGAAATGTCACGGATGGACTTATTGCCCAGGTGGCCACCTATCACGGGACCACGCTTGGAGTCACTGAGCTCCTGAGAGCGACCCATTCTTTCACCAATGTTTGTAGAAGCCGTCTGCATGCCTAGGGGCTTGATTGTATACACCTGTGTCCATGGAGGGGATTGGAACACCGGAATCCAATGATTTGGAGGGCGGGGCCAATACTTGGGGCAATATAGTGTATATACTGTATATATATATCTATATATATATATATTTTTTTTTTTTTTTTTTTTTTTTAAACTTGCTGGTCTATTGGTGGTCTTCCCTTTCGGTGACCTTGACATACATTCCCTTATTGCCCCTGTAGATCTAACCTCTCACTAATGTGACTCTGGTAATCCTATTGGCTCTTATTAGCTTCTGACTTTTGTTCACCATTATTACTACTGTATATCTATTGTATTTATTCTATGGGAACATTGTCACTGGGACCGACACTGACGACAAATACAAAATGTTGCAACTTTTGAGATTTCCAATCACTTTGGTGGGATTTCCTCCCATTTCCTACTGGCAGTGCGACTTTGGGTGCAACTTCATAGACATCTGTGTGACTTCTTGCATCCCCAAATCGACAAAAGTAGTGCAGGAACTACTTTTTTAACCGGAGCGACTCTGCCAGTTCCATTGACGATCATCAGATGCGATTTGTCATGTTGAATGTACAAATCGCACTAGTGTGAACCAGGACTAATGGCTGATTGTTTAAAGAATAACAAACAGATTATACTTACCTGTTGATAGTAATGGTTTTACACAGACCAGCCCCAGTCTTCCCCTTTTCAAGTCCCCTGCCAGGACTGCTGGCCCCTCCATCCTGCCAAGTGCCCCCACAGCAATCAGCTTCTTATGGGAGCACCAGAGCAGTCTTGCTCCTGAGATTCCAGCCAATGAGGATAGAGAAATCCAGGACAGCCAAGGCTCTCCTGCACATTGCTGGATCAAGATGGGGCTCACAAAAGTATTGGGGGTCTATTAGGGGGGTTGCACACAGAAGGTTTAGCCCTTACAACTACTTTAATGAGCTTTGAGAAGAAGTATGAACATATAAAAAATAGAAAAAGAGGCAATAAAAGGTGTAAAGGCCACAATTGGCTCCGCAGCTGGTCATGCAGGATCAATACAAATTCAACAAAACACAACCCCCTCCACCCCCCTCTTACAAACCTCCCCCTCCCTATAGCAGAACTACTGCTACATAGCGGCAGGGCTGTGCGAAATCAGGTATATATATATGATTTCGCATTTCCGGGTTTTGTGGCGTGCACCGCCCTACCTGCACCACCATTGGTGGCTACAGATGTCAATCAAGGGGTCCCCGACAGGGGATTCTCCACCGGCACCCGGCGATCACCGAGTAACACTGACAGGGGTGAGAAACCTGTGTAGGGGTGGACTGACCATTTAGCCACTCGGGCACTGCCTGAGGGTCCAGGGTCAGTAAGGGGCCCCATGAGATTCCCCTGATACCTTACATAGGCTTTTTCATAGGCTTTTGTGGGTGTGGGCGAGGACACGGGGGGCCCCATAATCCCCTATTGCCCGAAGGCCCCATGAGTTGTCAGTCCACCCCTGGACCTCTGTGTAAACAACACATATCTTTCTCCTGTCATCAAGGACATGCTGCTTTGTATCTCTCCACACAGCATGTCTCCCTAGTAAAACACACACAGTTAACCCTTTGATCGCCCCAGATGTTAACCCCTTCCTGCCCAGTGCCATTAGTACAGTGTCAGGGATTTTTATTAGTGTCATCAGTGTATTGGTGTCACTGGGGATGTCAGTGACACCAAATCACCCCCCCCCAGTGTCAGAATGCCCACCGCAGTCCCGCTATAAGTCGCTGATCGTCGCCATTACTAGTATTGCAAAAAAAAAATCCCAGTATACAGTATATACCGCCATTTGTAAACGCTATAACTTTCACGTAAACCAATTAATTTCCACGTATTGGGATTTTTTTAGAAAGACGCGGAGCAGAATACATTTTGGACTAAATTTACGACGAAATTTGATTTTTCAAATTATTTTACTGCACATGTTTTATAGCAAAAAGTCAAAAATAACGTTTTTTTCTCAAAATTGTTGGTCTTTTTTTTTTATTCATAGCGCAAAAAATAAAAACGCAGAGATGATCAAATACCACCAAAAGAAAGCTCCATTTATAGGGAAAAAGGACACAAATTTAATTTGGGTGCAGCGTTGCATGGCCGCGCAATTGTCAGTTAAAGTAACGCAGCCCGTATCGCAAAAATGGCCTGATCAGGAAGGGGGGGTAAATCCTCTGGAGGCGAGGGGTAAAGTAGAGTTGGGGAAGGGTGAGGACAGCTGTCAGGTTTGTATTGCCATACTCTTCTTATTTGGGAAGAGTTCTTTATTTTCGGTGGTCACCAGGACAGGAAGTGAAGTGTAATCTCCACAACAGGGACACAGATGGCAATGAAAACACTCATGAATGTTCTAACCACAACCAAAACTAAATCTCGGTTGTGGTTGGATTTTTCATTCCTCTAGGCACATAGGCTGCTCGTTAATTACCTGTTCACCAGGTTCGGGGGCTTATCCTCTCGGGGTGGACAGCCGTTCCTCTGATTTCTGGGATGATGGGACTTTGTCCGCGGTCTTTATTTAGAAAGTGAAAGCAGATCCTATATGCATTGTAGAAGAAACCACCAGCCAGTTGTCGCCCCGGAATTCATCCTAGGACTGCACATTCTATCCCCTCCTCCAATCACAGCACAGATCTCATCTAATTTATTCACATTTTTAGGCTGACAAGAAAAGAATGTGACAGATCTGGTTTCCTCCCAGAAACAGTGATATTTCCCATCTGTAAATGGTGACAATCACTGCTGTATGAACAAAAGGAACAAAAAAATGTATTCCTATTCAACACCTTATTTACACTAATTAGCCCTAATTAACTCCTTGCTCACCTTTTTCCCCTAAGCTTTTCTGTTAAATAATATTGTTTTTTTTTTTACCTTTTTATTTATGTTGTTTGTAATGTTTTTAAAGTGTTACTAAACTCCGGACCCCGCATTCACTATATCCGCTCTCCCCGGACCCCGCATTCACTATATCCGCTCTCCCCGGACCCCGCATTCACTATATCCGCTCTCCCCGGACCCCGCATTCACTATATCCGCTCTCCCCGGACCCCGCATTCACTATATCCGCTCTCCCCAGACCCCGCATTCACTATATCCGCTCTCCCCGGACCCCGCATTCACTATATCCGCTCTCCCCGGACCCCGCATTCACTATATCCGCTCTTCCCGGACCCCGCATTCACTATATCCGCTCTCCCCGGACCCCGCATTCACTATATCTGGTATCCCCAGACCCCACATTCACTATATCCGCTCTCCCCGGACCCCGCATTCACTATACCCGCTCTCCCTGGACCCCGCATTCACTATATCCGCTCTCCCCCGGACCCTGCATTCACTATATCCGCTCTCCCCGGACCCCGCATTCACTATATCTGGTCTCCCCACAGTACACAATACACGGAAATGCAATTATTTTAATATAAACTGCTAAATACCTTTTCTCATCAGCAGTATATAGCAGTCTTGTGACTTATATCAGTGTTCAGCCCAGCACTGTCTAATCTTGTAGGAGGAGTTTTCATTCTCCTCTGGTTGTCCTATGAGGCTGCATGACCCCTGGCCCTCTGTCTGGAGAGTGCCGATTGGCGTTGTGCTGATCACATGCACCTTCCCAAGAAAAAAAAAAAAAAAAAACTCTTTAGCAATACACACCAAACTGAACATGTGCAGCTTGCCCCCAAGGCTCTGTTCTATCAGCAGAAGGATTGGGGACAGTATAAGAAAGGGGAGGATCAAAGAAGACAGGATAAAACAGGCTTTTTACACAATGCAGGGATTAACCCCTTAGGTTCCACAGTGAGTATAACAAGCATGCTTTACTGCATCTACAGACTGATTGTACTGATGCGGGTTTAGTAGCCCAGCTGGCCACCTGTGTTTGGTCTGGTTGAAGTTCTCATGTTAGCCTTCCAATGGGTGGAGATAAAAGCTTTGATGTCCATGTTGGTTTTTCTGAGCTCTCCAACACCATATGGATGGAAAGTGTTACTTTGACTTGCAAAGTTTTGTATATCAGAAATATTATCAGGTCTTAGAGAATCAAAGACTCCGGATTAAAGCTCATACATACAATGCAAAGACATACAATTTCCAGAGTCTTCATGGGCGCAGGAAGAGGGGACCTCAT